ATACAAGGACTTAATTCTGATTGTTTAGTTCGTGTCAGCTATATCATTGAAAGGTTTAATATCGGTGTATCCAGCAAATGAGCAGCTTTTTTGGGAGGAAAGAGAGTCTAGTTCGCGAATATACAGACAGACCGACAGACGAACCGATAGACGGACATGACTAAATCACCTCAGCTCATCACGCTGTTCATTTATCTATATACAAGTATAATATTATATAGGGTATCCGATGTTTCCTTCTGGGTGTTGCGAATTTCGAAAATATACGCTGTTCGCTGTATAACAAATGTCAAATGCAACCATATTGATATATATTTATATATCATTATTTTGAAATAAAGCCATTTGTGGCATTAAATCTCGTGCTGCAGGGTATTTCACGGACCACGAAAAATACTTATTTAAACAACAAATTTATGTGTACTTATAGCATATATGTAATATATAAAAAAAGGTTTCTGCAATGTTAATGCAAATTTAAACGTTTTCTAATGATCTTCAACTATTTCCTTAGTAATGAACTGAGTGTAACTGATAGTATAACAACGGTTTACAAAGGCTTGTCACGCGTATGAAATTGTACCCGCTTAGAGGAGGTTACATTTACCGAGTAAATACAAGTAATTATAATTTGATTGTAGAAGTATGTACAAGTAAGGTATTTGAAATCAGATATAAAAGTATACATTAAGTATTTCAACAGCAAAGCGGCATAATCGAAGCTGAAGGTAAGTGTAATAATTACATAATTAATAGGCAATTAATGTGCGATATTCGGAAATATACTAGCGCTTCAGAAAATTTATCGGCAGAAGCATTAATTTATTTTTGAAAGAGTGCAGAGAAGAAAACGCTCTCTTTTTAAGCTAATCTGACGTCAGCAACAAAATACGATATGATCTCCAGAAACTCCCAGTGCTGCAAATTATTTATTATAAAAATAAATAATTTCATTTTATATTATATATTATTATTAATAATAATTCTCTGGTGATTTAAAATAAGAATTTTCCAAAAATTTAAATATTGGGGCTATATAATTTGTACTGTACCCTTAGTAAGGTAACAGTTTACTCATTCTTGCATAAGTAATAACAAGCGCGTATACATAAACCCACAAACCTGCAACAAGCAATTGTTAGATGTGATCTCATTGATTGTAGTGATTGACCGGCAGTAATCTTATACTGATAGCTATTATATGCGTGGTAATCTATTAAGTAATGTATGACGGGCAAACAATTGGCTAACCATTAAAACTATTATAGCGCAAAGGGCAGTTAAAGGCGACTTGCCGCAATATTTGTTTTGTAATTGAGTAGTTTTGAACTGGTTTGCCTAAAACTGCGTGCATCGAATGAGTGTAACAATGTACGTATGAGTAAAGAGGTACTAAAATAAACCATATAATATGTTATTAATTTCTTTAATTTGTATTATCAGATGCACATAGCTTTTCTTAGAAAATACTCTAGGTGATAAAACGCAACTGATTCTAAGCCAAATTTTATGAAGATATGTATGGTAAGTAGTAGTTGGATATTCATGTCGTTATCTAATTAAATCAATTTATAATTACTTTAACTATGGAGAGCTCTTTAAATTCGTTGAAAATTTTTATATATTAAATCAGAGTAATAAAAATGTATGTTTATATATCCAATTTCTTTTTTGTTATTTATTTTTAATGAAATTGAAATTTTTGTTTTTCCATTATTTCATTTAGTTGACTGCCTGCTGTTCAAGCGTTGATCTGTCATTTTGAAGGTCATTGTCAAGTTCGCCACTTCAATAAATTTTTTTCGACAATTTCAAACTTCGAATTGAACTGCTCAGCTCTTAAAGCCAATCGGTAGTAGACAGTAATTGACAACGGCATAGACACAAGTACTTGCTCTCGTCATCGCCTTTGGCAACGTCATTAGCCATTGTGATAGTAACTTTTGAAATGTATCTTCTTCAAATAATATTTTAAAAATATAAATAAGTATATTTTTGCGTACGTACATACGAATATATGTAACTGGGTATTTACCATAGTATACTATTTCCAGTTTTCTTTGCGCTTTGTTTTTAACGCTTATCTATATAAAAAAAAATACAAACAAAAAATCGTCGTAAAAACATGGTTTACTATAATAAACTATAATATTTCATACTAATATAAAGAAGTATATTTATTTCCAGCGAAGTGAACGTCAGGAAGCTATTAAGATCGCCGATATACTTATACAAAATATAAAGCATATCTGCAAGAATTGTTGAGTGTTTGAAGATTCATTTTGTATCAAAATTACAAATACATTATTTTCAAGTTTACCTATAGTCGAATTATCACATCCAATAAAGGTTGCTTAAAGTAACCATAAAAAGCTCATGGGAAGAAAATATAAACCGATACTGAATTTTAGAGACGTCGAAAACTAAGTTGGTAATGATTTTTGAGTTTAAAATTTTATAAAATTAGTAAAGTACATCATCAGAGTATATCTGCAGTGTTCTTAATTATGAATTATATGATTATGAATTGTAATTAATTGTAATTACGAATATTTTTAATAAGCAACTATTATTATTTTTAAAATAAGAATTACTGCAATACTTTTATTTTATGATGACAGTATTCATTACAATTTTAAATTATTATAAAAATTAATTTTATGATTACTCGAATTTTAACTATTATTATTATTAATTCAAATTACTATAACCAATTTTTTATGATTACTCATACCGTATTAACCATATAATCAATACACTACTTTCTCAACTACCTTATATTTAATTTTAATGATTACGATTACAGGAATTGTAGTAAATTTTTTTTTATTTAAATAACTAAATCCATTTTATGACATTAATTGCAATACTGAAATTCGTTTTCCTATTTAAACAAAAAGTAATTACTAAACATGTAGTAATGACAGAAAATCCTTAAGATTTTTATGATTACAATTAAAAAACTTTTGTTTATTATATTAAATACAAAAAATAGTAATTGCATGTAATCAGAAAGTAATTACATTTAATCAGAAAGTAATCATAATTTTAAATACCTTACACTATTTGTCACTCTTTACGCACGCCGAGCACGAATAAGCTCGGAGTTTTAAATTCCTGACGAGGGGCTATCGCTGACAGAAAAAGTCAATAATTTAAAGTATAACTCACAATTAATTGTTACCTTGCGGCATATAATACCTAGTATATTATGATTTATTATATAAAGTGAAGCTTGCCGTACTCCTATTCAAATTCAGATTAGCTTGTTCATCCATAACCGAGCCTTAGGAATGACATTGCATTTACTCAACGCAATTTGCAGCACTAATCAATAATCCATAGTGTTGAATATGCAAGTCGAACCATGGCTAATTACGGTTCGAAACGATTAGTCACTTCCCGTCAAAATCTTGTTGGAAGAACTTTATAAATGTAAACAATATAGCATATGATTCACGAAAGATTGTTTAAATCAATTGTATACAGTTATTGGCACATCAAGCAGATTAAGCGATAGAAATGATAGACGCATATAAATTAAGCGTTTTTTATTCAAAAAATATTGCACCCAACTATTCATATTTAAATTGTACACAAATTTATGCATGCAAGCTGAATTTATAACCCACAAACCATTAAACCTCATTCAAGTGGGGAACTCAGTTTGAAATAAAATTTAATTTAAAAAATGTTGTTGAACTAGTTTTCTGTGGGAATTCCGGTCGGATTCATTGTTGGCACTTAAAGTTCTTTTGACGCCAGAAATTGTTTGTGGAATCTGATATTTTACAATTTAAAGTGCACTTCACAACACTTTGTGTGCTAAAATAGTCGGCGAACAATAAATTTAATAACAAAACAAGCTTGACAAAGAATGGATTCAGCAAAAAATTGCTTAATATTTTTTAAATGTCAGAATGTTGTTTATGAGTTAACAAATTGATCCGCGTTAAAGACATTGCGGTTATGTACAGGAGTTACGTTAAGCTTTGTGGAATGTCAGAAAAAACATATGAAAGAGTTGTTGCCTACAATCAGGCGTACTATTAAATTTTTTCAATTAAAACAATAGTTTTTGGTTTGGGGAGTAAAAAAATTAGTATAAAACTGCGCTTATAAATTATAGTAATTTGTTAGGATTGAAAGCGCGGCGTTGGTATTTTCTTTTTCAAAATACTGAATTCCTTTAACAGTGTTGAAAGTCGTTGCCTACATATTGGCGCATAATGATTTTTATCAAAGTCTCGCACTTATTTTGAAAATAAAAAGAAGGTGCTATAAGTGCAATAAATAATAGAAAGTAACCTTTTCTAAAAATAACTTTAAATTGAGAACAAAATGTTTAAATTGAGAAACCAACAATTTTAAATGTCTTGTTATTAAAAAGATTAAAACGTCAATGTTTAATACAATAATATGATTTTTTTTTTTTCAAAATACTAAAGAAGAGAAAGAAATATTTGAAACATTAAGGATATTATTAACCTTCATTTCACAGCGAATTTACATACATGGTAAGAAATACGTTTTAATGGCATATAGGGAAGCATAATTTCGTCGGTAAATTTTTCACTATTTTTTCCTAAACTATTATTTGCTACATGGCCACTGGATGTGATTTGGGTTCAGAATCTGATAGCAGAAAGTCATTTTATCTTAAAACTATTTGCATTAGAAATTATGTGCGAATTTATTTTATTTAGAAAAATCCATTTCATTAGTATTACTCAATCTGGCGCTGAGAGATTTGCCCCAATTAAACACCACATTGCTGTGAGGCTGATATTCAACACATACCTTAATTATTGACACAGATATTATTTTCAATTTGATATTACTTTTTAAAACTTTTAATAATCACAAATGTTCGTGGGGTGTAACCTCGAAATGTATTTATTATTTTTTTTTTTAACTCAGTTAATTTTGTATTATTTTTCAACACTGTCACAAGTCACATAAAATTTTTCAAATATCTTTTTTGTTAAAATTCCTTCAGTATCATTATTTTTTTCTGTTTAAATTGTTATATGTATGTGTAAAAATTAATAAAAAAGATTCACCTCGTTATTGTGTGGATAAAAATTCTTTGTGAATTTGTTTAAAAACTAACACGAGCACTATAAAAAATTTTCAGTCTTATCCTTTTTTTTTTAACTAAAATAGTGCCAACAAAATCATTAGTTAATCTCAACAATAACGCACGAAACGCAACGATTCTGTCAGCGCATGCGCGCGAGCTATACAAAACTGTACCGGTGAAAATGCCAACTTGGACTGAACTAAAATCTTCAAGTTAACTGAAATATTGACTGAAGACGTCCGGCAGATAGCAGATAGAAGCGCACCAAATACGCCACCAAATGGAATGGAAATACAACAAAATGGAAACAAACAAAAACAATCAAAAGATACAAGAAAGGGAGAAGTTGTATCAAGAGCTTTTGCAGCAGCAACAGCGCCAGCAACAGTTACAGATACAGCAATTACAATGGCAACAACAGGAAATTCAGCTGCAAGAGCGGTCGCAACAACTACAACAATTCCAACGTATACGATTGCCAGCTTTATCAAAAAGCCGAAAACAACGAATTAACCAAAAGAAACGAGACGACAATAAAAAGTTGCCGACCGCAATCGATTGTGTACTCAAAGGCATGGCCAGCGCAGGCGTTGCTGTTTTTTTGGGTGTTGTTGGTGTTGCCATTATAGCCGCTGACCTGTAACAGCAGCGCAGCGACAATGATGACACCAACATTAACAACAGGCATCAGAAGAGCTATCGCCAGCAAATCGGAAAATATGTGTCACAAATTAGTCTTTGCTGCTGTTTGTAAACAATATGTGTATATATTCGTGTAGACCCGGTGTTTAGTATGTATGTGTGTTAAATAGTAAAGTTATTTAACGGTAGTGTCCAGCTCGTCCCTTGTAGAAGTGTTAGCGAACTCTTGTTAGGGTAAATACATGTAACATTTAGTCATGTTGTTGGTGCACTCTAAAAAGCGATTAATGTGTTATCAATTTACAGCAGTGTGAATAAAATTAATTGATTAAAATATTGTTGTTTGTATTGCAAAAATAGTTAATAATGATCCTCATTACTTTCCGAAGGATTCCGATCTTACAAATGAAAAAAAAAAATAGTTTGCTGGATTCTAATTATTGCCTTTTAAATATAAAATATTCGATCTTTGAAATTAAGAAGAGCTACGCTATAAACTACAAGTTAAATATTATCTTTAGGCCCTTTTGAAACAGTTACAAAATGATCGCCGTGTAGTAGAGACAATATATTTTAAATTTACATCGAAAATAAATGATATTGATCAACTATAATAAAAATATATCAACTAAACTACCAAACTGGTTTAGATCCTCGAAATAACTGCGATTTGTCGGTTTTAATTTGTCAATTCCAATAATATCGATCCTAAAAAAGGCTTAGGGCTACAACAATAATCAACTGCATTATAAAATCAAATTTGACTTGAGCCATTATGATTCTCGGTCGGGATGATCTTTCTATCTTCAGGTTTTAATAGCCTCAATCATTTCATCAGCAGAATCTTTAGTGACCTGCACCTCACACTATGTTCTAAAGACCTTTTTTAAAGGCTCTATAGAGCTGAAATGATTGTGTTCTCAAGAAGAGTAGTTGTTTTTTGAAATATTTTTAGTAAATAGTTGAAATACTTAATTCCAAATTGCTCAAATAAATTTGGGAATTCTTTCGGAAATTAAGGATTGTTATCGGATTTATCTAAGTAAGGGTTCTGGAAACGAGACAGGTTTTAGATATTTAGGTTTTAGAGGGCATACATATATGGTTATAGTGTTGTGAGGTCTCATTACATGGGGCAGACACGTTTTGTGTGACGAGCTCAAGACTTTGTATGTAAGAATTGAAAGATGTTTAATATCCAGACCGCAACTGTGTTAAGTTTATTTTACCTTGTAAAGGGTATAATAAATTTGAACCGAAGTTTATTATTTTTAATGTTTTTGGTTTACATGGTAACTTGTGCCCTTCGTCTGTGGAAGCCGGAGCTTTGACTTTCAGAATTTTATTAATCGGAGAGAAGTACACTTGTGTCTATAAAGAGATCATACATGTACAGGATGCTTTGGAAACATTAAAAACCACGTTGTGACTCTCCGACGTGCTGTGTTCTAGCAGGTGTGAACGCTTCTCAATAGTGAACTACTACTCTGTGACTGGTCACCGTACTGATGGTAATGATAATATAAAATGCTCTTGACAACCAATTCTAGCTACCGATTAGATCATATATTTTTGCAAGCATTTCTATGGAACAAGTTAGTAATTAAGTATTATTGGAAGTGGCTTCACTTGTACCCAGTCTGAGCAACTTAATTGAAAAATAATTTCATTTATTTTGATTTTACCGACGAAATTTACACCCATGACCACGGGTAATCTTTCAAAACACTTATACCCAATATTAAGTTAAAGTGCAAATTACATTTTAAAAAAAGTTTTGTTCTATGTCAGCCTGCACTTGAACTCTTTCCATAATTAAATTTTTTTGAGCTTGCAAATTCCACTAAAAAGAACCGTTTTTTCAGTAAAATATTCACTTTCATTTTCATTGAACAAGCATATGTACATATATTGACACACCTTCCGAAATACTCACACATAGCCGATTGAAATAAACTCCATCATACAACGGTGATTATCGAATAAAAGCGGCAACGCATGGAGACCACAACAAGCAGTCAAGCCACATACATTCACACCTTCGTAAAATCCAATCAGGTGACTACAAACATACATGCATATGTATGCGTGAATATATAATGTATTGTGCTGTTATCATTCGAAGTGTTACGAATAAAACTGGTTCAATGCATGCGCTACAACAAAAATTGCAATTCATTTCTTCTTTCTTTTTCGTTTTTTTTTTTAATATTTATTTTTTTCTTGCATTTCGCGGCTCGTTTTGCTGCTGCGTTTAAATATCACGTAAATATTTTATCTAACCTTTTGTTTTACAAAATCGAAATCAAAGCCTTTGGGTTACTAATTTCATTTGTTGCATATGAATGTTTTGGTGTTAAAAAAAACTGTTTTGCATTGCTTTGTGAGACCGCAATCATTTCCATTAAACAAGAGATCCGTAAAGGGGCAAATAAGAAAACATGACAGCGTATTAAAAAGCATTAGAAGCTTGCGCAATAGGGCGACTAATGATTTTAGTAGCAATAAAGGGAATATATTTTTGTTTTGAGTAATATTTGATTAACTGATGGTAAAGTTTTTAATAAAAATGCCATATATACGTCTTTTATTATTAAGACAAATTTTTCTCTTTCGAGATTTTACAGATTTTTTTTTACTTTACTTTTTTCTATTCGCTTTTTTAAGAAGTACACACCCTGTATTTGAAAATGTAATATTAATAACGAATTATAGGAAATCAAAAAAAAATTTCCTGTTTTCGTAATTAATACGCATAGGCTCAGTGAGTGAAGGCGCGCATGTGTCAAAGAAAAGATTTTCGACATTTTGATGAATGACAGCCATCAATGAGGGCACGTACGTTCATGCCAATCTGTTCGAAACGCTCGGATATGGTCGGGAAGACCACATTAGCAGTCACACTTAAGTTAGCATGTTCAAATTAACCTTTTGCCCTACTAGACATAATAGCAATGGTCATCTTGAGCTTAAGTTGTCAAAAGCGACGAATGATAAACGAACGTGCGACTCGATTAATTTTCGAACTTTTCGAATACTTGTTTCCCACAAGATCTTAAAAATAATATATGGCTGAGTGGTAAAGAGATATATTTCACATCCGCTAATGCATGTTAATATGTGAACTTTAATCTCTTTTTGTTGTTTTTTGCGCTTTACTCCAAATTGTAACTAATTTAGTTGAACTGCGTTTTTTTTTTTTTTTTGCGAGGGCTGCCTAAAGAAGACCGAGATATAGGTTCAGTTGCTGCTAATACTAATGGATCTTATTAGTGAAATTGTATTGTTAATTGTGTTTATTTCAAATATTTTAAAATATTGTAATTTTTTATTACACATGGATACACCAAATTTAAATAAATCATATTATTTAAAGTTTCCCGTTTTCGATCACACGCTCTCAAAATCCGCAAATGTTCATCTATCAATGTTATTGATTAATTATATTGACAACTTGTTGATTAGTATATTTTTATACCTTGTTTATTTTATTGTGCTGAGTTAGTTTGCAAATATTTAGTATTTTTTATAATTCTTAAAGTTTTTTATATGAAAGTTCTAAATCTTAAGTTAATTGGTTTATTCTGCATGTGCAAAATAGAGTTCTCTTCATCAGTCTTAATCGTACTTTTGCACAGTTGCTAAATTTTGTATTTTTCGTAATACAAGCAAAAACATTTACTTCGGCTATAATACACAACATACATACAATCACTGCTGCATTTTCTATAGTATACAAGGAAATAAAATAAGGAAAAACGTTAACTTCACCTGCACTGCACTGCAAAGTGATAATACCCTTCACAAATAAAAAAGATTCCTTACAAGGATTCTGATCAGTCAGTTTGCTATAGAGCTCTGAAAGGAGAAAATTGTTCGGAGATAGTACAAGTAGTTTCCATAAAAGAACTTGATTTAGATCGATCAGTTTGTATGGCAGCTATAATGTTATAGTGACTCGATCTAAACAATTGCACCATTGCCCCACTAAGGGGGTTCTATAATATAAGTGAGTGATTTTGAAGCAATTTATAGCTTATTTCTATGAAAAATCTCATCAGATAATTCAATCCATCATAACAGTTTTTACAAATCAACTGCAAGTAAATGATTTTTGACGCTTAAAAAAGAGAGAAAAAGAAGATTGGACGCACTCACATCCATTATAAGAAAAAACAAATTTCTAAAAACCTGAATTGACCTTCATGGAAAATATTTTGAAAATCCATGCTCCATCTACAGTGATATACAGCATAGAAGTGTAAGATTCCTTAGAGAGCTCACTGTTAAAGTAAATACATGTGTTGGACATTTATGTTCAAAACCTTCAAAAATCCTGTCTGTGCTTTTAGTTTTAAATAAAATTTTACTATCAAATCATCTCCAGCGATTAGACACATTTCTGGAGCACTATTAAAATAAGCAACGAATCGCCTTTTTTGGATATCCAGCGAAAAAATTAAATTTTCCTCGTAGGTCAAGTTGCTTAGAGCAATTCTTGTGTGGGTACGTCAAATCAATTATCTATGCTGATTATCCAACATTGATAACTTTTTTTGTTAAGATAAGACCTCGCTGAACAAAGTGTTGAAAAATTGTATCACCTTAAGATGTAATCGCAATGACCTTATGCTCGAAGTTCTATACAAACATGAAATTGGTAAATTAAACCTGCGGCAATGTCCTTCGCACTTCTGCTTGCAATGCAGCTTTTTAAAAAACTTTCAGCTTCCAATTAAAATCATGTAAATCGCCCCGAAAGATCAAAATACAGCTTTTTTTAATATTGTAATTTTATTATTTTTTATTATAACTCATTTGCTGCTAATTTTTTACACAATTTCTCACTAATAAACATAATTAGCTATGTATTGTTGAACCGCGACCATAATTGGGCCAAGTGCACGAAGGAAGTATCTCAAGTGATTAATCAATGCTTGTATTTAGTAAATGCTTTTGCTACGCTCATGCGACCGCGTTTAAAAGATTTTAGCATATCACAAAACAATACTAATTAAACCGCTAGATTTGCCTCAACGATGACTTTGATACAGTTTTTAGACACGCCAAAACATACACCAAAGTCGTCTTGCACTCCATCATTACTTCAATACGTTTCGGGTGTTTCAATCATTTTCGATTTATGGCAAGGTCAGCTATTTATTGCTGCTAAATATGTTTGTTGTTGTTGCTGGTAATGCTATTTTCCGTACGACGTGGGTGCAATTACAATAACGAATTTGCAGTTATAGGCGGCTCACTGAATGCTCAATCAATTAAATTGATCGATTTCGCATGCTTTAATTTACAGTAACATTAATTGGAAGCTGTGCA